AAGTATGGTTTAATCAGTTGGTCATTATTTACTATATTAGAAATATGTATTTTGTGAAATATTTGTTTGCTTTAGGACTGGTTTTATGCTGCAGTGTACTGTACTTTCTGGTTCAGTGTCCTGGGGACGTTTTTGTGTCTGAAGTGTGGTAAGACGGCCTGTCTTTGCAGTTGCTCTGTATGCAATCAGCGCGGTCTACTTTGCTGGAGTGATGGTGCGGCTGATGCTGACGCTGACCCCAGTTGTCTGCATGCTGTCTGCAATCGCCTTCTCCAATGTTTTTGAGCACTATTTGGGGGATGACATGAAAAGGGAAAATCCGCCTGTGGAAGACAGCAGTGATGAGGATGACAGAAGAAATCCAGGGAATTTGTATGATAAGGTGGGAAATCTAAAGTAAGACCTCTAGAAATTTCATGTGCTTTCCTTTTTTTTAAATATAAGAACTGTACATATTAAGAAATGTGGTTAAATGAGGAGTTGGAGAAATTGTTTTTGGTTTACCATTTAGATTGTCTGATTTAAATCGCATTTGGGCTTTTAGCTCAAAATAGGAAATGAGAAATATTGTCATTAGAAGAAATTTTTGGTTTTGGTCATTATCTAAATACATAAACTTTGTTTTTGAGAGCAAAATCTGAATATTCTGTTAAATCACATATATTTGGTGCTATCAGGACCCTTTTGAAACCATGTGGATAAGTACTTGTCATTGAAGTTAACAGTGTTGGCCTATAAAGTGGTATTTAAAAGATGCTTAAAAGGATCTTCATTGAATGGTGCCTTTTATAGGCAGGTAGCCCATATAATGCCTTTTTTTCCTTTTTATCATATTATTCCCCAGCTGTGTAACCGTGATTTTGTATTTGGTTAGAGTGTAGAAAGTCTTGTAAGAATTGGAGCACTTCCTTTGGATGATATGTGTAACTGCTATTTTAATGTTTTGAATTTTTAAACACTAGGAAATAATAATGATACTTTCCAGTGTGGGTACTTAGTGAACTTTTTCCTTAATGTAAGATTAATATTAATATTATATTCATAAAGATTTATGTTAATAAAGCACATACTGTTTTTGTTTGTAATTTATGATTTCTTCATCAGCTTTAGTGTAGAACTTGAACTGATTTTGGTGGGTGGTTTGGGTGGCGGGGGCATGTCTGTCTTGTTTCTAGAGGTAATCTTCATTTTAACCAGTCTTTTAGGATTTGAAATTGAGAGACTAGCAATTCTAATAATGATTCTAATAATACGGCTTTTTCCTGTTCTGAAGCCCTTTGTGGTCTGGATTATAACTGCATATCCATTTTGAGATTATGGAATTTAAATTGTATAAGGACTTACATATTAAGAATAAAATCATTCAGTTATCTCCTTTGTATTTGCAACATGAACAGCTGGGCTTGAGGGCAGCTTTTTACTGAGGATACTGTTTTGACGGCCTAGTTACTAGTTTGTAGGTTATGCATATTTCCAGGAACCCTTCTGATTGACGTTTTAGAATCTACATGATGATTTTTAGCAAACACTCTGACTCGGCAAAGAATGTCCAATGGTATACCTTTTGTAAGTCATAGAGTTCAGGTGATACATTAGCATCCTTCCAACTTGAAGTGCTACATCTGCCTAACCGGGTTTGTGTGTTCAGGCAGGTAAAGTGAGGAAGCATGTGACTGAACAGGAAAAAACTGAAGAGGGATTAGGCCCCAATATCAAAAGCATTGTCACCATGTTGATGCTGATGTTGCTGATGATGTTCGCAGTCCACTGCACGTGGGTCACAAGTAACGCCTACTCCAGTCCAAGCGTGGTCCTGGCCTCCTACAATCATGATGGGTAAGAAGAAACCCAGCTGCAACAGGATTTGCAATTTCACGTTGCTTTTTCTTTGAGGCTGTGCATTTTCAATCTAGTTTTTACTGGTTTTCCCACATTTCCTCAAGAATGCATAATTTTGGTCTTAGGCTAATCCTTTAAGTGGGAAACCTGGGAAGGGAGCACAGGAATTTGTGGTTCAGCAGCCTCGGGTGATTCTGATACATCAGAGGAAAAGCAGGCAGTTAATCTATGGCCGTGGTCCGCTTGATTCTCTTTCTCTTGGGAGCTTGCTAGACTTGGGGACCTCAGACTGTACCCCAGAACTGAATGAGAACCATGTTTTGACAAGATGCCTGGGAAATTTATGTGCATGTTAGTTTGAGAAGCGTTAGTCTGGCTTTTTGTTAATTTCGCTCACTTCTGTGGAAGTTAATTCTCATCCTTAAGTATGACATTATTCAGTGGTTTAGCACCTAAATTTTCCTCTTCACATTTATGAGATCTCATTTAAAGGGATATTGTTATTCTTTTCAGCACAAGAAATATCTTAGATGATTTTAGAGAAGCTTACTTTTGGCTAAGACAAAATACAGATGAACATGCTCGGGTGATGTCTTGGTGGGATTATGGCTATCAGATAGCTGGAATGGCTAACAGAACTACTCTGGTGGATAATAACACCTGGAATAACAGCCACATAGCACTGGTAAGAATTTTTAAAACAAAATCAGAAATACATATATATGTCAGGATTCACTTAGGAGTAAATATGAAAGATGTAAGTAAAAATACTCTGATTACTAGTTCCCAAAATGTTTCTTCACACATGCAGCCAATAAAGTGAGTTCAAAATACGCTTATTTTGTTTTTAGGAACAGTATTTAAGCATAATTATAGCCTGATTTTTGGTAAGATTTCAAAATACGTTTAGCGTATTTGGAAATATGGCCAAATTGGGAACTTCAGATGTGTTTGGCTTTCTGTATAATAAAGCAGCTATGTAAAACGAATGCATTGTACTTTTTTGTTTTGCAAGTTGTGTTTTCTCTGTTAAAAGTAATCACAGAAACTCAGGTAGTTACCTCTTTGTACTTTAAAGAGGGGGCCACGTGGGCCTCTGCACATGATGTCAGCATCGTGTGGGCTCTGGTTCAGGTCCCAGCTGCTCCACTTCCGAGCCAGCTTCCTGCGAATGCGCTTGGGAAAGCAGAAGCAGTAGCAAATGATCCAGGTGGGCCGCTGCACCCGTGGGGAAGACTAGAAGCAGCTCAGGTCCTTGCTGTAGTCTGACCCACACGTTGCAGCGTTTGCAAAAGTGAACCAGCATGGAAGATTGTCTCTTCTCTCTGTAACTTTGCCTTACAGATACATTTTTTAAAAATCAATCTTTAGAAGTAATAAGCATAGAAAGTTTTAATTTTAACTGGATTAACTAAACTCCATTTGTGTTAATATTTTAGCTAATCATCAGCTAGCTGCTGTACTTGATAAGATGAATATAAACATGTGCTAGCAAAAGCATTAACCAGCCTTGGCCTGAGATTCTAGAAATTATGTATTTTAAACTTGTCTCTTTGATTTTAAAATGTTAATCTCCCAAAACAATAACCTAACAGAATATTAAGACACATTTGGGTTTTGCTACTTCTGCTATAAATTGGTTATACTATGAAATGTTTATATATTTTAGAAATTTGTTGAATTTATAGTAAGTGATTTGTGCAAAAGGAAGTTAAACCTGTTAAATTAAGTCTTGAGATAAAAATGTATGTTCATTTCCATTTTATTTTGTAGGTGGGAAAAGCTATGTCTTCTAATGAAACAGCAGCCTATAAAATTATGAGGACTCTGGATGTAGATTACGTGTTGGTTATTTTTGGAGGGGTCATTGGCTATTCTGGTGATGATATCAATAAGTTTCTCTGGATGGTTAGAATAGCTGAAGGGGAGCATCCAAAAGACATTCGGGTAAGAATAGGAAGAATAGTTTCCTTACGTTACTAATTGTGTTTCGTTTATTCCTGTCCCCCAATTGGACACCTACTCTGACTTTTCTATTTATTAATTGTACTAGAAGCATCTCTTAGATTGTAAGTTTGGAAATTCATCCCTGATACTTCCATTCTACCCTATGGGGCAATTCCTAGAAAGTGCTGTCTTTGCCTTTATCTCATTTCCACTTCCGGAGCACTATGATACTGATTTAAGCCACTTAAAAATCTACAATGTATTCTGGAGAAAGGCATTTAAAGCAGGCTTAGGGTAAGAGTGAAAAGGACCAGCTTGGTACTTTGTGGAGGTCAGCTTGTGTGCTTTCATCTCACTCTCAGATTGGAGATACAGGGTGGCTGACTTAGGGTATCACTAATGACCAGTGAAGACTTGGTAGTGCTCTTGTAAGAGCTTGTAGTAATGTGAATGAAGCCTCAACCTACTGATATGAAACAGAATGGAATCAGTAGTCCAGGTTCCTTCACTGGAGACACCAGCTCTCTGCCTGTCTCTTGTCCCAGCTCTGCCAGAGTCCTGTGTCCCCCGAGAGGCACCTCGGTCTCTCCTTGACCTGTCTGCCATGTTGTTTGTGCTGTGGTCCTCTTGGAACACCTTCCCTCCCACAGACTTGGCACTTCTCTGGAAAACCAGTTTTGTGTACCATGATTATCCTTGACATACTATGCTTGTTTTATAGCTAAATTTTATCTTTCTTACTCTGGTGTGAGGTTTTGAGACTATGGTAAAAGTATAAAAGTTGGGAATAAAATTTGCAAAACTGATTGATAAAAGAATCCTTCAGGAAAAAACCAGTTGTGTTAATGACAAGGATGCAGTAAAGCCTTGAATTCTATAATCAGATGTGAGGGTTTTCAAGAATTGTGATACTAAGCATTACTGGCTTGTAGAATTAATCTCCTAGGACCCAGTTCTCGGGATGTAAGATGCTCTCTTGAGGCTGTGCTTTGGCAGGGTTAGTTATGATGAAGATCAAGGACTGTTTCCAGATACCTGCTCTGAAGGTTCATAAATGCAGTTATTCTGAAATTCTGTGCTTTCTAATTCATTTTTATACTTTGTGAGTCAGTCTACACATGGTTCATAAAGTTTGAAGACATATGTAGCAAATATTTCATTCCCCCTAACAGAGAAAAGTCCATGATTAACACTCTGTAAACATGAGTGTAACGGTGCTTGTTTCGGCAGCACATACACTAAACTGGAACGATACAGAGAAGACTAGCATGGTCCCTGTGCAAGGATGACACTCGTTCCTGAAGCGTTCCATGTTTCAAAGCATAGATGTGTGTGTCTAAAGGTAGATTTTTAAATATTCTCACAAGAACACATGTATGTTAGGTAACATGGATGTTAATTTAACTATTCCACAGTGTACATGTTCAGAATATGTTCTACATTGGAAATACATATGGTTTTGTTAAATAAGGAAAACTTCCCTGGGAATCGCTACTGTTTTGATTGTTAAATAAGAAATTAGTACCAGAGGTATAATCAGTATACAATACATCTTGACAATTTTTCCTTCTTACAATATGGACAACTTTGTTCCTTTTATTTGTTTTGTTTTTCTTTAACATTTCCACATTTCTATACCCAGGTTTATTTAGCCTGTCCCTATTCATGGATATTTGGGTTTTTTTGTTTTTTGTTTTCAGTTTCAAGCAGGTACGGTATATAACTTTTTTGCGTTCTTTATTTCAGCTATAAACAAATATGTCTACAGAATAAATTCCTAAAAAGTGGTTTCTGGGTCAGAGATAAGCTATGTTGCCAATTTTTCTCTTCGAGGTTAATGTATAGTTAACCCAGTTGAAATTATTGTGACAGTTACTAAACATTCACCTCGCCAAACAAAGAAGCCAGTTTTAGAGTTGATTTGGAAAAATTGGGGAAGAACACCAAAAGAATTTTTTAAAAGGAATAATAAGGGGGGCTGGATAGGGCAGTTGCAGAGAGCCAGCCTGCCTGATCTTAAACTGGTGTGAGTGCTGGTTTTTGTTGTTGTTGTTTTTAACTTACTACGGTTTTATGATATGTTTAAAAATCCGTTTCTTAACTGTAACAATATAGCTTTCTAAATATATCTCAAACTGATTCTTACGGGGAAATGGATAAGAGGAAACTATAGGTTTGAATGTGTTAAATTGAACTTTGACAAGGAAATTTTTGGTTTGTTTCTTACAGGAAAGTGACTATTTCACTCCACAGGGAGAATTCCGTGTAGACAAAGCAGGATCCCCCACTTTGTTGAATTGCCTTATGTATAAAATGTCATACTACAGATTTGGAGAAATGCAGGTTAGTTACATCAGTTTTCCTGTAATATTTATTCAAAAACCTTAATCGTTTTAAAATCTTTCTTGCATATAGAAAACAAGGTAATAATGCTTCTGAATGCATTGTATAGAGAAACAGGCGTATCTAAATATTCATTTTTGTTTTTCACTGGATTTAAGTATCTGAAACTTTCATGTGAGAACTTAGGAAGAAAATTTTAGATTGAAGACCTCTTTCCAAAATATTCATTAGCAATAGTCTCAAATCCAACTTTTGCTTGCCACCTTGCCCTTTGGTCACATGCTTTTGAACGGTACGGTTCTCCAAGGGAGCGGTTTCCCAAGCAGGAACAGTGTCAGCTAGGTCATGGTACTGCTTGGCAGAAAAAGGCCCACGTTGGGCTGGAACTGTGTAACCAGTGGAGATGCTCGCTGTGTTGGCATTCTCTTTTACCACAGAAGAGTACACTGGCCGGAAGGGTGTGATAGAAAGCTTCAAGATCTGCGAAATGAATCTGCAAAGAGGCCTGTGGCCGAGAGGACAGTAGACTTGGTGTCATAGGTCTGGCCCGTCACATAATCCTAAAACTTATTTGGAACCTTTCTAGACCTCTTAGTTTTTGTCAATAAATGACGGGGAATGGGGTTAATGGCTTGATTTTTGAAAGAAAAAAATGTATCACTTCGCAGTATTCTTTTATGGAATAAAACTTGTTTTTGAGCCAAAGACAATTACAGAACATCAACTGGAATGGAAAAAAAAAAATACTTTCCAAAAGACAAGGTATAAATCCTTGACTGAAAATAATTCAGACTCTTATCAGCCAGGGAAGTGTAAACCCACTGCAGGAGTTACCCTGTCACACCTGCCATCTTCAGAGTCCAGAAAGCACCCTCTCCCTCTGTCCTGTCATTTTTCTACAAACTTGCTCTTATAGAGCAAGCTATATAAGCCAGAATTTTAAGCCCTACTGAGTTTTGTTTTTTTTTTTTTTTTTTTTTTTTTTTTAGTTTTCTTATGGGTGATTATTTTTTTCTTGTTAGTAAATCTACTGTAAATTGAAAAGGGTTGACAACAGAAATGCTTTCCTCCAACTACTTCTGAGGTGTTTGATTTAATTTGAAAGGGTTGTAGGAGATGTAAATTCTCCATCCACTGGTTCACATCCACATGGCCACAGCGGCCAGTGTGGGCTGGTCTGAAGGCAGGAGCCAAGAACTTCCGGGTCTCCCACATGGGTGCAGAGGCTCAAGGCTTTGGGCCATATGCTGCAACTTTCCCAAGCTGTCCTTAGGAAGTTGAATTGAAAGTAGAGCATCTGGGACTTGAACTGGAATCTTAAGAATTCCAGAGCCACAGGCTGAGGAATAGCTTCTGCAGCACTGTGCCAGCCCCTCAGACTTTTTAAAATATCTTTTAGATTACATGAATACAGTACCAAGTAATACGAAGATTTCCGTGTAAATGACTTATCCCCGTATTTTTCATTGGGAAAATCAGATTTACAGAGAGGAGAGACAGAGAAAGATCTTCCACGTGCTGGTTCAGTCCCCAAGTGGCCGCAGCGGCCGGAGCTGGGCTGAGCTGAGCTGAAGCCAGGAGTCTTCTCCGGGCCTCCCACATGGGTGCAGGGTCCCAAGACTTTAGGCCATCCTTGACTGCCACAAGCAGGGCAGCCAGGACGTGAACTGGTGCACACGTGGGATCTCAGCATGTGCAAGGCAAGGATTCAGCCGCTAGGCTACCATGCTGGACCCAGTTGTTCAACTTTAGTGCTGTCACCAAGGTCCAAGGTAACTATCCAGAATGAAGGGGTTTGTTTGAACCTCAGACGAACTGATTTGTAAGATCTGTTTTATCCTTGAGTGAAGTGTCCCTGTAGCACTATCAGTTAAAACACTACACTTTTGAAATAGCATTGCTTCTATCCTGTCCTTGTTCGGAGCGTTGCTTCCAGGTGGGTTTAGACAGTTGGACATCTGTGTCAGAATTGCTCAACTGGAATTACCCCGCAGACAGTGTCCACACAGGGAAAGGTGAAAATCTAGATTTTCTTGTTTTTTTGTTTTTCAAGGGCTGCTCATGCTAAGAAGGATGCACTCACATGTTAAGAACTAATTTCTGGAGTGAGCAGTTATCTTCTCTGTTCTCTCAGCAACAGTGTTAGTAAAGTCATGTTTCTTGCATGTTTTCAATTTTGATGCCTGCCCCACTCAAGAATTGCATATAATTAAAATGTGAAGTACACATTTCACTGGTTTAGATAAATAAGAGCAAATGATCCACTCTTTGGAATAGAATTGGTTGTAAAATTCCCTTCCCTCCTTGTTTTTGTTTTTAATCTACCGCCCATCATTTATTTGGTTTGTTAACCTCTTGTGAAGTTTCTGTTTTTGGGATATGGTATCATTGCTTCTTTGTGCATTTATTTAACAAATAATATTGGATGATAGGGCCCGGTGGCGTGGTCTAGCAGCTAAAGTCCTCGCCTTGAATGCACCGGGATCCCATATGGGCGCCGGTTCTAATCCTGGCGGCTCCACTTCTCATCCAGCTCCCTGCTTGTGGCCTGGGAAGGCAGTTGACGACAGCCGAAGGCCTTGGGACTCTGCACTCACATGGGAGACCTGGAGGAAGTTCCTGGCTCCTGGCTTCAGTTCAGCATAGCATCGGCTGTTGTGCTCACTTGGGGAATGAATCATCGGACGGAAGATCTTTCTCACTGTCTCTCCTCCTCTCTGTATATCTGCCTTTCCAATAAAAATGAATAAATCTTAAAAAAAAAAAACTGGATGATAAAGCTATAATTCTACCAAGATTGTCATCAGACACCTTATCTTTGTGAATGATACAGATGATGTTAAAAATAAATTAAAATGTTAGCAGTATATACCATAGAGTGAAGACAGGGTGCTGGAAGGAAGTAGTGGGGAGACGCATCAGGCATTCGCCTGAGGAAAGTACTTTGTCGCAGAGATTCCGTCTGGGCTGGACCCACGGAGAGTCAGTCAGGCAAAACTGCAGGGAACCGGAGGCAGAAGAAAGACCCTTCTGTGTGCTGGGCGCATTTTGGTGTTTTAGGTTTTGGGTGGATTTCTACTGTGTGCGTTTTGTTTTTGTGTGTGTATGTGTTCAGTCCCCAAATGTCTGCAGTGGCTGGGCTTGAAGTCAGGATCCTCAAATGCAATCCGGGTCTCCCAAGCAGGTGGCAAGATGCAGTTACTTGAACTGTGACTACTAGCTCTCCGGGTCTGCCTCCGCAGGAAGGATCTGGAAATGGCAGTCACATCCACCAGCGTGTGTGATTCCTGTAGTGTTTTGGTTTCCCTCTAACTGAAGCCTGCTCACCTACTTAGGGATTCTGGGAAATTCTTAATCTAATGTGCTTAGTTTTTTCTCAATTTCTATCTAGGTACACTGAGAACACTTAATGTATCACTTCATTCTGTTTTCCTTGTTTAAGGGAAGAGTATTGCTCTAATTGTGTCATTTACAACCTTCTAACACAGTGTTGTCCAATATGGTTAATATCCAATACTGACATTACTTTTGCAGCTGGATTTTCGTACACCTCCAGGTTTTGACCGAACACGGAATGCTGAGATTGGGAACAAGGACATTAAATTCAAACACTTAGAAGAAGCCTTCACATCAGAACACTGGCTTGTTAGGATATATAAGGTGAAAGCACCTGATAACAGGGAGACGCTGGATCACAAACCTCGAGTCACCAACATAGTCCCAAAACAGAAATATTTGTCAAAGAAGGTAGGTGTCAAGCAAAGTCTGCCCTCCTTCCCTCTTGCTCTCTCCCAAAATTATTTACTTCAAAGTCAAAGTGACAGGAAGATGGGGAAAGAGATTTCCTCACTACTTCACTCCCAGTGTCTGCAGTGGGACTGGGCCAGGCACTTCATCTGGTCTCCCATGGAGATGCATGGGCCCGGGCACTTAGCCAGAGCTTTCCCAGGGAGCTACAGGGACACGGACCAGCAC